AAAATTTAAGGACTGTCACTGCCAGTTTAGTCATATGTTAAAATTAGAGGAGTGACTGGCATGTTACAAATGTCAAAAGAAACTAAATTGGGAAGTTCTTAAAAGATCAGAAAATAAAATATGTAATAGAAGACACAGTACTATTTATTGTGAAAATATAAATGAATGTGCTAAAAAATATATTGATCTCAAATTAGACAGTGGTGGTGGGGAACAGAAAGAAGTAGACAATGGCTTAATTATCTAAAGGAGGCAAAGGCTAAAAATGAAATCAGATGAGACTTTCAGCAATAGCTACCATTAATAGTGCATAAATGCTGACTCAGGCACTGGACAAGCATTTCATAATTATATTATCTTTAAGTCTCACACCAACCTAAAGAGGTTGACATTATTATTCCCAACTTAAGTTGAGCAAACTTAGGTCACACTATTGGTAAAGAGCTAGTATTCAAAATCATGTCTGTTGCCAATGTTTTCCTGCTCTGTAGCACCAGGTAAAATGTCAGTGTGAAGCCTGACAACCACAGAAAGAACCACAGTAATAGAGTGCGAGCTCGAGGGATGAGAACTTTTGTGCAGCATTTAGTCTGGATATAGACTGAACAGAATTTTTAGAAAACCACTAATGAGTACTAAGATAATATAAACACTGAAATATGGTACAAAGCATAAAACTGGTATGTGGGGGAAGACAGTGGTAAATGATTTGAGAAATGCTTTGTTGATGACTAGAGACCTTGAGCACTGGCCCAAGGCAGCAGATTTAGAGTGGTGACATGCTTTGTCTCTGAACTAAAACAATCCTGAATTTGAATTCTAACTCTGACATTTACTTGTTCTGTGATCTCAGAATTATATTTAACCTCCCTAATCTTCAGGTTCTTCATCTGTTAAGAAGATATAATAATAGAACCTTCTTTTAGAGCTGAGAGGATTATATGAGATGTAACACATTAAAGACACTGCACACAATAGAAATTCTGTGACATTTCATGATCCAAAAGAAGATCAGTACTTATATAAAG